CAAAGAAAAGTCAGAAAAATAGCTCCTTTCTGTTCCTTCCACCTGCCATTCCCACCTTCCCAAGGTAACATGTTCGTAATTGGCACCAATTTCAGTGGATGGGCCAGCTGTACTTTCTTGGGCTTTTTCTCATTTAAGCCCCAGGGAAGTTTGAATCCTTCCTGCTTTGAGAGACCTGAATTTGACCTGAAATCATTTGTAAATAATGAGAGTTCTGGTGGTTAAATATAATTTCATATAGTAAAATTGCAGTGGATAGTGAATTTGGGAAAAAAAAAAAAAAGCCAGCTCTCCTAAACATATTTAGTCCCTCTGCCTCAAACTAGGGCTGGGAATGACTCCACAGAGCCTGATCATTTTAGCAGTGAGACGGAACTGAGAATACCTGGCCCGTTACTGAAGGTGTTTATCTACTCTCTAAAAAACAGCTTCTGGAACAACCCGTTCCAGAGCTTTACTGTCCTTAGGGCTAAATTTGTCTTAACCTGATTTTTTTTATTATTATTTTTTATTTTTCCAAATCCATCCAGTCATTTCTTGTCCTCTTTCCTCTGCGTATAAAGAACATTTGTTCTCTCCTTTTTGCAATAATCTTTTGTAGATGGGGAGTCAGCTCTTACTTCTCTAAGCCAGTTCCTTCAACCTTTTCTGCTTTCTGAACTGCTCCTCTGACTCTCCTGGGAAGGTTCCCACATTTATCTGGATCTTTCTCAAAGTGTGTTGCTTGCTTTGCATTTTAATCTACCCTCACAAAACGCTCTCGGTTCCTTTTGCCCCGGCATTATCCACAGGCTTGTAAGCTTGCTCTCTGTTCTTTAATGAAAATACAGGCTGGTTCCAGGATCTCCCTTGACATCTCCTTGCTGACATGAAGTATTGATAACTCTCTTTTGTACAGTTGTTCAGTGTCAGTCTCCAGATATTCCTTGTGGATGAGAAAGCAATTTAAAAGTAGTTAAGATCCTGCCCTCGAAATCGTACATGAAATTGTGCACTTTGATGTATTTTTAGCAATGCCCATTGTTTTACATGCTTCCTGGGGGACTCGAATTATTTTTCTTTCCTTTATGTACTGCTGTGCAGCATGACATTACCGGAGCAAAGGGCACTAGAGAGACGACGAGGAACTTGATCTAAAAGAGAGAAAAGAAAGTATTTCTTTACACAGCAGTAGTGTCTTCTGGGACTTGTGGCTGCTGGAGTTCATGGAGACAGGTGGTTTCCCTGCGGTCAGAAAGGGATGAGACAAACCCATGGCCAACATGCCCACAGGGGGATCCTCTGAGGTCAAACAGGAATGTCTCTTCTGTCATCCCTAACGCAACAGCCCAGATGCTGGTGGAGTACGAGGGGGAAGACTGCAGAAAGTGGACAGATTTGTGTTTTCTTCTCTAAATAGCATCTCCCACAGCCATTGCAGAATCCTGGGCCAGGCAGGACATTTCTTAGGTCCTTGTAAGCAGCTCCCACATCTCACTCTTGCAAGGCCCTAAAAGATCTGAAAATGCAATCCTAAACAGGATGGTGGAAGGTGGATGGTTTGCAGGTAGAGGACTCACTGATCTTGCTTTTGACTAGAAAATCTTGCTCGAGTTCTCCTAGCACATGGCTTGGGTGGTTTTAAGGAGAGCTTGAGCAAGCTGCCGTTCACTTTGTGCTCCTGCCTGCTGTACTTAAGATTTCCAGATGAAATTCCTCCTGCAGCTCACTGCAGAACAAAGCAGAAAACCTCCTCCCCCCCTCTGCAAGAGAGAAAAATGGGTATTTTAAAATGCAAATCCCCCTGAAGGTAACAGTGAGATGGCTTGGAGATGTGAGACAGGGAAGACTCTTAGAGGTGCCAAGATGTCCTTGCCCATCCGTGCCAGAGACCACCCCCGTGATGAGGCTGTTGGGGCTCAGGGAGTGATGCACGGCAGTGTTTTCACAAAGAGGGCTGGAAGGGGGAGTTTTGGACAAGCAGACTGAGCAGGATTTGTCCAGTCAGCAGGGCTGACCTCCTCCCTTCTTGCTTGAAGAAGGACAAAGCACCGTGGCAACGTGAAAGCCTGTTCCTGAGCCAGGACCTTGGCTGGGATTGTGGCCGAAGCATCGTTTTTCACCAGTCTTCCAAGTGCTGCTAGAGGTTACGGTGTTGTGTTAAGATGCAATCGCCTGTGTTCATGTTTTCTCTCCGAGACTCGGGAGGAGGGCATTTCTCCGAGTTGCTGGAATTGTGCTGGACCGGGCCCAAAACAAATGAGACTGAACTTAACCCATCAGCAGGGAGCCTGCTGAGATCGCAGCCGTGGGCTCTGAAAGCAGATGCTTGGGGGCAGCTTCTGTGGGTAAACTCTGGTCTTCGGGCTCCTTTGTCTTTCTCCACTTGCTTTTTGTATGGCTAGTTACAGCTGAGAAACTAACTTTGTTTCAGTTTGTTTAAAAAGAAAAAAGAAAATCAAGATAATTCACCCGTGACTATAATTTAAAACAGAGAACAATATGCCTGGTTAGTGGCATTGTCAGAAAAGCTTTCTAGAAACACATTTAGGTTCGGGATAGAGTCAAAAGCTTTGCTTTGGCTCCTTACTCCTTCTTCCTTCCAAAATGTCACTGTTCCTTGATCCCAAACTGAGGGAAGCTTGGGGATTTGGGGTAAGATTTTGTTCTTTTCCTATATTTCAGGCTGAAAGGGATGGACACAGCTATGGGAAAGCCCGTTTAGGTCATTTTCCCCCCCCTCAAACCACAGGAGTTGGGTGCAAGGAAAGGGTGATTCCTTGAACCCAGGCAACAGGTGGAAGGGCTTTGCTCTCTAAACGGGATAAATTTCACTCTCTGGTGGTGAACTGGAGCCAGAGTGGCACCATGTCCCTTTCCTTGGCCATTTTAATGATTTTTTTTTGCACAAGGGGGCAGGGACACACCGCACACCCAGCCCTGTGCTCCTGCAGATTCCCAGTCCTCACCAGGGGAACCTCCACACAGCAACTTTTCCAGCCACCGGTAAAGCTGAGTAAGGTTGTCAAATTCCCTCCCTTCTTCTAATGTCACCATCCCTATATTTGAACCTTTGCTCTGAATATTTAATGCATTTACAAATACATTTATGAGGAGTCATTCGGAGGTTTCCTGGCAGAGGGGCCCCGGCCCCCAGGGCAGTAACAACGCCTTTGGTTCAGCATTAGGCAAACACACTTGGTGTGGTTGCAGACTTTGCCTTCGGTAGAGGCTTTCAAAGGTTTGTAAATATTTACACACACTCCCGAATGAAGGGGAGAAGGGGGGGAGCCTTTAAAAACTGAACCTGGGGAGGAATGCAAGTCAGAAATAACAAACAGGAGGCCCGCCTGAGTCAGAAATAAATAAGAGAAGAACAAGAACAAAATCCCAACACCTCATTAATCCCATAACTTCTCCTAAAGCATTACCTCATGAGGAATTTCTATAAATCTCATGGATTTGTTTTCATCTATTAATGGAGTGCTCAGCTCAAGCGTCCGAATTTCTCCTTTCCCTGCCCCAAATTTGCCTCAAACTGTTTCTGTCCAAAACAGCCAGGCAGGATGAGATTTAGGAGAGATGTCAGCAATCTCCCTGCAATCTTCAAATCGCCTTTCTTGCAGCAATGTCAAGTCTCCACCAAGTTCACAGGCTCACCGTGTTGGGTGCATAATGAGATCTTTTACACTAAACCATTAGTGTCAGGCATCTGACCAAACATGAACACTTTCACCCTTGCTTATCTTTACAGCCCCTGGAGAAATGGCATCTCCAGGGCGTGGTTCATTTCATCCAAAAGTCAATGCTTGTTGTGTTTTCACATCTATCTGCTTGAAGTATTTTAGGAGAGTGTGATAGTTGATCTTTGAGGTTGGCTGAGGATCCAGCTCTTCAGCCCCTTCCGAGGCTTCTCCATGCTGGCGATCAAGGAAAAAGATTCCCCAGTTCGTGGGTTATTTCCAAAAACCTCAAGCCAGCTCCTTGCATGCATTTGAAGCAAGGGAACCCCACACAATGCCCGACTTATCCCGACGAGCCTGGCTTTAATTAAAAGCAGAAGCAAAACAAGCAGTGAAAGGCCGTGTGATATTTGGCGACTTGTCATCCTGCGCTGCGCTCCCGCTGTGCTGCCTGCTCCTGGGTCAGGGCTCGGGGTGGGACAGGGGCAGCTCCCCGGCTGCTTCTGCTGGGCTGGGACACACTCGGAGGGAAAAATGCAGAGTCCTGGCCCTGCTAGGATCGGTTGTAATTTCCCTGAGAGGTTCAGGGCTGAATAATGGCTGTAGGAGTCTGCTCAGGAGCTTTCCCTGCCTGGGATCATTGGCACGGAGCCTGTGCAAACACTCTCTGGCTGCAGGGTTCGTCCCCTATGATTTTCAGGTTAGGTCGTGCTGGACAAACACCGGTGTTTGTTCTTTAGGGCATCATCTTACCCCAGCTCCTTTCAGACAGCCTCAGAGCCTGCCTGGAGATACACTTTGGTAGGGACGATGAGTTTATGTTGTGGTGAAGGTATCACAATAGCTTTGCTTCTTGGCCTATGTGGGAGCCAGTTCCTGCCCACCTCGGATGACAGGCAGCCTGAATCCTTTTAAGCCTGAACTGAGGGGCAGAAGTGGAATTTAATGCTATTTTGGGAGCAGGTGATCACAGAACCACAGAGTGTTTTAGGTTGGAAGGGACATCTGGAGGTCATTAGACCCAAACCTCCTGCCCAAACGGGACTTTATGGTCATAGAAACAGAACCACAGAATGGTTTGGGTTGGAAGGGACATTAAGGATCATCTAATTTCAATGTCCTGCCATGGTCAGGAACACCTCCCACTAGGTCACATCCCATCCAACTGGAGCTCTTCTCAGCCCTAAGCAGGTTGCCCAGAAAAATGCAAGTGCAGCCCTGGTTCTCCACCACGCTGCCTTCACCCAGCACCTCACACCACCACAGACACTGCCCCATCCTTGGTTGGGAAAGCCCCGCTGGCGTTTACAACTTCTCACCACCTTTCCTTTCTTCCAGGCAATGCAACAAGACCTCCAACGGGAGCGACAGCTGTGACCTGATGTGCTGCGGCAGAGGCTACAACCCCTACATGGACAAAGTGGTGGAGCGGTGCCACTGCAAATACCACTGGTGCTGCTACGTGACCTGTAAAAAGTGCGAGAGGACTGTCGAGAGATACGTGTGCAAGTGAAAGCCCCTCACTCCGCCCGGGAGCTGAGACGCCAGCGGCACCCCAGCACTATTCAGAGAAGAGAAAACATTTCCCCGACTAGACGTCGTTCATCTTGTAAAGACACGGACTTGAAGACAGATGGTAGGAGGGCAAAAAAAAAAAAAAAAAAAAGCAAAAAAAAAAAGCAATCATGCCACGTAAAAATGAGACCCTTAAAAATGTAAAAAAACAGAAGGCTTTTCCCCACCAATAAAATGCTCTCTGAGAAGACAAAAACTCATTTGGGATGGTATCTTCTTCCAAAATATTTCCTGTGGTTGCCAATTATGTCCAGCCATCAAGTGCCTTAATATTTTGAGAAGCAAAATTAGAAACTTTCCCTTGGGGAAGAAAAGCAACACCTGCCTGAAAATAACCAAGGCTCACACCTGCTTGTGCCTTCTCACAGAGGTACCGAGTCTGCCTTAGGACCATCCCAGAAGCAAAAACGCTACAACTGTTCAGCAATAACTGCATTTGTTGCCAAAGACTTAATTTTTAGCGCGGAAGCATCCACTCAGGATGGTAAAGGTGGAAAGATTTCAGGTCCATGCCCTGAAATGACTAACCCATTTTAACCTTTCTTTTAAGCAGGTCTGTGACTTCCCAGTTACTGCTACGGGAAAAGCTGTCCCTGAGTTGTCTGGGCTGGATGGGGCTTCACACTCAGCCATGGAAAATAAAAACAACTATGGGATGCCAGAGACAGCGAGAGTAGGGCACGCTGAGAAGGATTTAATGGGGTCCTTGGGTTGCAGTGGGTCCATTAGGATAAAGTACAAAAGTGAAGTGAAAATACAGTGGAAAAAAATAAGAAGAAAGCTCCTGCTCTCTTTCTGTCTTGCCCTTTGGCAACTCACACTTGTTCTGCCACACTGGGCCATCCAGTCCTTAGGGAAAGGTGCCACTGCCTCTCTCCCCCTAGCAAAACTATTGACCCAGCCCCAAAAAAACACAGAGAGCAGAGCAGGTCCAGTCCTGGCACGCAGACGTGCAGGGTAGCAGCTATTCCCTGCAGAAAGGAGTGGGAACACATCAGTCCTTCGCATGGCCCTGCCCTGGCGCAGAGAAAACCACTATGGGTGGCTGTACATATTTTCTTTTGTATGCAGACATACAGAAATATTTATAAGATATATCTTGCGCTTTCCTCTACTCTTCTTCCTACGTAAATATATCTATATACTATAAACAAGCCTTAACAATAGTATGAAATAAATGCTGAAGTTACTGGTGCATCAGCAGAATGTTAGCTTATTATGTTTCACTCAAGGACATTGTTTCCTACTTGGAAAGCAAACCCCGGTCTCCCTCCCAAGGACAGGAGAAGAGCAAGGCTCGAGGCACTCGCTGGCGTGCGATCGATAAGTTCCTGTATTCCCTGTTTCCCCAGCCTCTTTATTTTGAGCAGAATTAGCCAAGATACAGTCAAGATAATGAAATGGAGCACTTGGAGGAAGGAAGAGTCACCGTTCTTGTTCCTTTTTTTTTGTTGTGCATTGGTTAAATATCCCAGTGCCCTCAGGGAGTGCAGTCACAAACATGACTGATGCTTCTCATGGGTGGCTTGTTTCTCACTCCTGAGTGCAGAGAGATGCTGTGCAGCGGAGGTTTTAGCTCAAGTTCAGTTGCTTTGCCTCTCTTTTTTTGCTACGGGCATTCACCTCTGTGTCTCTGTTAGGAAAAGGGACACTGGAGAGGGATGTCTGCTCCAGGAGAAGGCTGTGAGGTCCTTCAAATCATTTTTGGGGAGCCTGCTCTGCAATCAAAGTCATGTAAGCAGCCAGCAAATCACTCCTACACAAATGTGGGGACAGTGGCACTTCCCTAGAGGGAAACACTCTTTTCCTTTTCTTCCCAACCAGCCACTCTCTAGGAGCCAACTGCTTCTGACTTGCCTCTGAGCAGCACCGGGGAGCTAGCAGAAAATAGCGTGGTGGGCTGTAGAGCAAAATTAGAGATGTTTCATTCTCTAGCATTGCGTGCAAGCAAAATTAGTGATATTTTGTTCTCCTCAGCTACTTTGCTTTGCTGTAATGGGTTTGGTCTCCTCCGTGCCTTTCCCTCCCCCAGCCCCGAGGAGGCAAAAAGAGGCCTTTGGTACTTTGTCAGTGGTTTGTGTTATTGTCACCCCATAAAAGCTGGTGGACTGAAATGTCTCCGCAGCACGGTGTGATGAGCGGTTGGGTGTCTTTAGGCTGACATGCAGACAGGTCGGTGGCACGGGTCCCACTGCTCTCCAAAGCCAGAATTTGGCTTTGTTTGATATTGTAAAGACAAAGTCAGCTTTCATTCTTTTAAGGAATTTTCTTTTTTTAATTCCAGTTTCTGACGAAGCCAAGGGATGTTCTGACTGAAGGAAAACTTGAGCATTTCAATTCTGTGCTGTAATGACTTTTTCTTGCTCCCTTGCTGATGTCTTGAGTCTTTGGGCTTGGCGCAAAAAATAGCGAGATGGAAGAAATGCTCCGTATGCACATTGTTTTCAGCTGCATTTCACTCCTCCAATGTCAGGCCCTTGTTCCTCAGCTGCTTTTCCCATGTCAGGCGAAATCTTATCTTTGCAGAACGAGAGAAGATGTGAGTAAGCCTACCAGGCATCTGCAGGTCCTCAGACCCCAAGGTGGGAAGTGACCTCTAGATGTTGAATTGAAATGGCTGCAGTGCTTGGAGGATTGTGGTTCGGTGCATCCAGGCTCAAAATCTCTTCTTGCTCCTCCCGAAATCCTTCACAACTGGCTTCATCTGTGCTTTGCTTCTTTGAGTCACTGAGGCCCCAGCCCATGTCTTAGGCTGTTGATGTATGAATCAATGCTGCTACGCTCCTTTTGCCATAACTCCCAAGTTTCAGAAACCTTTTTCTTTTCTTCAGTGGCTGAACCCTAACCAGCACCCTTTGTTGCACAGCCCTGTTTCATCCAGCAAATTAGGGTCATCGAGCTCCTGGTGTTCTGGGTGCTTTTCTCCTGGCATCAGCATCAAAGTGCAGAGAGAGGTTTGCCCAGAGAAGCTGTGGGTACTCCATCCCTGGCAGTGCCCAAGGCCAGCCTGGATGGGGTTTTGAGCAACCTGGTGTAGTGGGAGATGTCCCTGCCCATGGCAGGGGGTTGGAGTTAGGTGATCTTTGAGGTCCCTTCCAACCCAAACTATTCTGTGATTCTATGAAAGAGGCCAGAAGGGAGAAGTGCTCTTGCTTGCAATTGCAATGCTCAGTGCAATGAGAGTCAGAAACGCAGCTGCCAATTAATTCTGTGCATGTATGGCCTGAAAGAACATTTGCCACAAACCAAATTTGCAGTTTTTTGCAAGGAAACTGTATCCCTAACAGCAGAGCAACACCTTGCATACCAACCCTGTGGCAGTAAGCTTTCAAGACTTTGCTCCAAAACACAAAAGTCTTTCATCTTCTGAATGAAATGGCTTTAATTAATGTGACTGTATCTGTAGGGTGATGCTACAGTTCCCTGTCTCCTAACATGCCCTGCTAGGTCCCAGCAGCTGGCATAATTTGGCTTAGCTCCACATCCTACTATACAGCTTTGTTACATTAGCTGGGAAAATACAGCTGATATATTCCCATAAACATTTCCCATAAACCATTTCAAAATATTGCAATATTACCCTTGAGGGAAAAAAGACAAGCTATCTTGAAAAGTATTATGTTGGTGGCTTTGTAGCATTTATTCGTTCGGAAAAAAAAAAATGAATTTCCAAAAATCCGTGGTTTAATAAAACAGCTTGTACTTAATGCTATTTCCAAATCTGAGGATTTAAACCTTGCACGCATCCAGCTGGCTTTATACTTTTTGATGAATTTCCCCCATCCTCACCCCCTTCCAGCTTTATATCATTTAGGTTGCTCCCCAAGGTAGGCAAACGACATTCATTATAGAAGACTCCCATCCAATTTTATTTATTTTTTTATATTTTGGTCTGCAAAATGGAAAGTATCTTCATCATGCTCAAGCAGGCACCCTGTGAGTGTTTCATGTACAGCTACAAAAGCCCTTGGTGAGGGGAACGGGAGGGGAAAGGAGGCACAAATCGGAATACAATAATTGTGCCTTTGTCAGGAAAGAGATATTAGAGTCCTCAAGGGACCATGGCTGCTTTCTGCTAGAAAACAGAACCATGAGCATCCTCCCAGTGAGCCACGCATGCGGTGCACACCCCAGGTACCAGCCTGGGGAAGATGCTGAGAGGATGCTCTGGAGGTACAAGGGGATGAGGGTAGCAGGAGGAAAGCTCAGCCCTGGGCTTTTCCTTCTCCTGCACTTCATTTGCAAACAGATTCCTGATGGGATCACTCCAGGAATCAAACAGAATCGAAGCAGGAAGCTGTGAAGCCATCTCTCATGGTCTGGAGTCATTTTTTCTCTCCCAAACCAAAATCCTAGCCAGTCCTTCTCCTTACCACGCACTCTACAACCTCGTCCTTGACTCCCTCACCCCACCACAAAGGATTTGCCTTCCCTGTGTGGAAACACCATCATTTTGTCCCCAAGAGCAGACTGGACCCAGACTTTGTCCTCCTCACGTGGGAGACAGAGCAGAAAACAAGACTTGGGAGAGGGGGGAAAGAACAGGAAACTTGAAATCCACCTGAGATTAATGACTTTAACATGCACAACATGTTTTGTTTTGCTTTGTTTTCCCCTCAGGAGCAGTTTCATCAGTCAGATGGAGTTTGATTAAATATTTCAGCAGAGCTATGGTTTATTCATCTAGAACAAAAGTTACCCCCTGTTCAGGGACGCAGCATTCGCTTTGTTTCCTAATTATAAGAGCAACAATAATAATAAAAAATAATAACAATGGTATGCATTGTGGATCGTCATTTTGTTGTTTGTTTGTTTTTGTTAAAAGTGAAAATGTGCTTTTGTCTGCCTTGTAAATATGAAATGAGTTATTTTAAAGATCATGTCTGTGTTATGTGGAGTTGTTTTTTGTTTTGTTTTTTACTCCTTTAAGTGGAATTTTTTCAAGGTTTTCACCAGAACCACATGGCCTGGAAATGTCTCCTAAAAATAATAATAATTAAAAAAAAAAAAAGCAGAAGAGGGTGTCACATAATCAAACGACACCAGGAGCTGGGGCAGGAGGGGAAATGCTGCAAACACCACATCCCCTCTGCACGTGGGGATGAACCTGGTGCAAGAAATCTGCTGTGGGTCGTTCTGCATGTAGAATATGCCCATCCACACCACACAGCCACAACCCAAATGGGGACTGCTCACCCTCTCCGAGCTAAACACGTGTGTAAGTGCTCCTCTGGACCAGGGCCAAAGTGCTGAAAACCTTGGGAGGACTGAAGGGCGGTTATCGATACCTCAGATCTCTCTAAGTGGTAACTGCTGACAAACACGGGCTTTTTGAAATGGAGAGGCACATTTCTTTCTGATTTTCTAGGGTTAACGCCGGGCCCCAAATTCATCCGGTCTGGGATCAGAGCTGTGGCATTGCTCGGTGGTGATGGACAATGAAGCTGGGTTGGAGCAAAGGTGGGAGGTGAGAATAAAAGCAGGTGAAATCAGGTAGGGGTCTATGCCATCTCCACGGGTCTGAGTCGAGGCAGAAAAAGCTGGAAGGGAAGGGGAAAAATAAACCATTGGAAAAGCTTTGTAGTTGTGGGAACAGTGTGGGGACATCAGCGAGGGATGAAGTGAGAGCCACTTGTCTCCCCCATTTCTTGCCAACTCTCCCAACCCCATTTTTGTCTTAATCTGGGGGCTCTGGGAGCGTGTGGCAGCTCCGCTTCACCCTCCCCAAGCATCAGCTGCTTTCTCTAAATTAATGTGGAATTTCATAGGAAAGGGAGGTTTCCCTTTTCTTCCCCTCTGTCTTATCCTAAATTTTCAAGCTGTTTAGGATGAGCTCAATAAAATGGATGATTATAAAAATCACTAATGGCAGCAACTGCACCAACAAAGAAAACCAACTGGTGGGCAGAGCTCAGGGCAGATTCCTCCCGGCTCTGGCAGGCTGATCATGCAAAGGAAGACCCAAACCCTGCTTTGCTATGAGCAGACTCTGCAAGCACGCACCACCTGCAGCTCCTTTCCACTCCACTACCTGTTCGATACGCAATTAACTTTACAAAGTGCTGCACGTGTCAACCAGGGCCGAGGTCAGGCAGGAAAAACGTTTCCTTTTCGAAACTCCAGATAGACCAAATGCTCTGTCCGGGGCTGCTCTCCTCATCTGGTTTGGACAGATTAAAATACCACCTCCCTGCTCACCTCTGCAGGTGCTTCCTTCCTTGCTGCAGGCAGCGGGTGAGCACAGGCTGGAAATATCCTTGCACTGAAAAAGCAAAAAACAAAAAACAAAAAACACCAAAAACCTGCATATCCACGCTTGAGGAGCAGCCCTTGGTGTGACGTAAAAGCGTCAACCTGACAGCTGCAAAGAATTGCTTGATTTAAGGCAGTCACAGCTCCCCAGCTCGCCCTGACCTCCACGCATAACTCTTCCTCAGCAGCCTGCAGGGAAGCATCTGGTGCCTTTTGAGGCTCTGCAGAGGACTGCAGGGGGACCTTGGCCCCACAGAAGACCCCTGTCCACCTAGGCTGGAAGGGGAAAGCCCAGGGGACACCCCAGGGTATTTCAAATAGCTCCAGCATTCATGCAATTGGATTACATCTGTGCATCTGTGGATACTCAAGCACACTTTCTTCCCTCCATAGCACTGGTCCCAAGGGCTCTGACGGGCCCATCATGGACTAACAAGCTGGGTGACACTCCAAAATGAGCTCTGCAAAGCCATCTGTAAGCTGATCCTGCCTGGCACAGGCCAGCTCAGACCTCCAGACCACAGGATCCCCAAGTAGCTGATGCTTGCAGGCAGCTCCAGGTCCCTGTGGTGCCAGCCCTGCTCCAGCAGGGCCACCCCGAGCAGGGTGGCCCAGTCCCACATCCAGGCAACTTTTGGAGACCTGGTCCTTACAGCCCCAAATCATCAAGATGGGCTTCTGAGTTAAAAAAGGGCTTCAGTGCAAAGTCCTGGGTTCTTGAAAGCTCTTCACCTCTTCTAACAGCACCCAGATTTCTGAGTAAAACACCCCCAGATCCTGGGAAGTCAGATGAGATTTATTCTTATCTGGATGCTCAGTGTAGAGATCCTTCTGTTTTGATGTTTGGTCTTGATATGAACCAAGCAAATAAGATGTTAGGCCTAGCTGGACTATTAGAACCAGAGCATGATCCTAAATAGCTGCTGTGCCCAGGATGATTTCAGCTGACATCTGTTATTTTACATAAATTGCTTAAATACACTTCTAAATAAAACAACAAAACACAGTAGGTGATATCAAGTACTGTAAACATCTAAATGTGGCTGGTTAGATTCACTTTTTCCTCTTCTCTCCATTAGAGGGAACATTTTCGTCTCGGGACTTGCAGATAATTCCGAGATAACCAAAGAAGTTAATTCTCCTGGAGTTTACTAAGAAAAACAAACCATCCATGCACCCTGTCCACTTTGTGGTTGCAACCAAATGTCAGACTCCAGTCCCCTGAACTTGACCCATATTGTTAATTGCTCTGGTACAAAGCATAATTTTTTTTCCCCAGCCATTAAAGAGGCTATTCCCGATAGTAAAATGTAAACAGAGAAACTTCAAAGAACAAAATGAATGCCATACAGTAACTGTGTTTTACTGGATTGCTGGTAGAGGATTTCTCCTTGAAAAATATTTTCCATTACTCTATGTGGTCTGGTGAACAGCTTAAGTGCCCTGGCTTACCTTTAGGAGACTTAGATAAGCCGAGAGATCTCCCTGCATAGAAATACACTGATCCTCTTCTCAATTTCATCCTTTTCTCCTCAAAATGATCCTGGTCAGTCTAATGAGATTGACCTTGTTTCTTGTTGCTTATATCCTGCTAATGCTTTTGAAAGCTTCTCTCAATGGTGTGTATATTGGATGAAGCACAGGAGAATAGGGGAATCACAGAGAGTAAATTGAAATACTCCGAAGCCAAAAATCCTGCACGCAGGGGCTGGCACTTCAAAATGCCTTTCAGGCACCTACATTCAGTAGTGAGACTTGAGTGTCCGAGTGACTGATATCTTTCTGTGCCTTTTTATTCTTTTTCAGCCCAGAACAGCTGTTTATTCCCAACTTTACAACTGACGTAAATGTATAATTAGGGTAGATGTAAATGAATGGGTCCAGGAATTCACCATAATTTTTCTTTAACAACAATCCCACCCTCTCCTGGCACAAGAAAATCTCCTCCAAGCTTTCCTTCTTGCCTGGGTCCCACGTTGTATGAGGTGCTCCCGTACAGACAGGCACCTGGTTGGAGAATTATCTCATGAAACTTCAGGTGACTGCAGTGAAGATGTCTACAACTGAGCTAACTCGGCATCATCTTGCTGATGGATGTGTGCCAGGGAGGCACAAACTGGCTCCATACCCTTTACAATGCTGTTTTTTACCCTGCTGTGGGGTAGGAATATATGAATTGTGTTTTACCTGGTTTACTTCTGAGCTCCAACTAGACTAATTCTGGATTATAACCGAATCCAAGACTGGTCCTGCTGGGTTTCCTCCTCAGGGATTTTCCAATGCTTCAGCTGAGGCTAGGTAACAGAGCTATGAAGCTATGATATGTTACAAATCTAGCGGAGGTGGGTTTATATTTATCATTGCCCTGTAACTAGGAGTGACACACACAAAAAAAAGATTAAAGTAATAAAACCCAA